TCCTCCACCTTTTCCTCACCGTTTGGGACTCTCAAGACCCCCTGTGAACCCAGGAAAGCAGAACATCAAGATGATAAGACAGCGGAGCTGGGAGCCTGCCTCCCACGGTCGCATCCTGACCCTGCCGCTTGGCAGCCCTGTGGCCTTGGCCAAGTTCCTTGGGCTCCAAAGGCTCTCTCTCGTTCCTCATCTCTAAAGTGGGCATCTCCGCTGGACCGGCTTCGCGGGGCGCCTGTGAGTCGCCCCCTCAGAGAGGCTTGGCCGGTGCGCCAGACCCTTGCTGGCATTTCCATTATTCACCTGGACCCACGTCACCTGGTACCATTTCGGTCCTAGTGCCATCCTCTCCCCAGACCTCCGCTCACAGGGGTCACACGCTGGTCGTTTCTGAATGTGCTCTGACCTTCCACCGGCTTGGAAGCGCTCCCCCGAGGACCGAACACTTGCTACACTGTGACGACGTTGCAAATACTCCCTGTGTGTAGAGAGGGAATCGTCCCTGTGCCCTGGAGGGCTGGAGCCCCCCTGGTGGTGCCCATTTTTCAGCTGAGAAGACCGAGGCCCAAGACCTGGAGGACCACTCCCTGGGTCACGTGGTGGAATCCTGCCCCGGAGCCCACACCGTTCCCCGCCTCCACTGAGGGCGGCCCCTGTGTTTGGCCATGTGGTTCCAGACTCAGCCAACCAAAGTCCCAAGTGGGAGTGTGGTCCCCTCTTGCTGTTCTTTGAGGCAGGACCAGGCTTGAGGGTGTCCCCACTCCGTCCCTCAAGGGATGGTTTCCCTGTTTAATCTCCTTCTGTCACCTGTGCAGGGGCAGCAAGCCCGCGGGGGGCTGACCCCTTCCCTGGTCTCCATGTGGTGGGCTCGCTCCCCGGGACAGGCCATGAAAGGCTGCAGGGTTGGGGGGTGAAGCCGAAAGGAAACAGATGGGAACGTGTGTAATTAAATCAATATATCCCAAACACAAGCGGGGGAGGGGCGGGGGGGAAGCCAAACAATTAGGACAAAAAATGAAGTTTGAACTCATCGTTGGGCCTTCATTTCCAGCAGACTGTCCCTGAAGGCTGCGTGCCACCTCAACGGGACGAAAAAAATAAATAAATAAAACACATGCCCGAACGCACTAGAATCTCTTTTGTTTCATTTTTCTGGAATTTGCTGATTTGTTCTTCCACATAATTCTGCTTCAAAAGAGAAGAAAAGAAAGAAAGAAAGAAAGAAAGAAAGAAAGAAAGAAAGAAAGGAAGGAAGGAAGGAAGGAAGG